CACGCCCGGGTTCGACTCCTGAGCCGGGGTGTCTCTCTGCGTGGCACGTGTCTCTGTGCGTGGCACGTGTCTCTCTGCCTTGCACGTGTCTCTCTGCGTGGCACGTGTCTCTCTGCGTGGCACGTGTCTCTGTGCGTGGCACGTGCCTCTCTGCGTGGCACGTGTATCTGTGCGTGGCACGTGTCTCTCTGCGTGGCACGTGTCTCTCTGCGTGGCACGTGCCTCTGTGCGTGGCACGTGTCTCTGTGCGTGGCACGTGTCTCTCTGCCTTGCACGTGTCTCTCTGCGTGGCACGTGTCTCTCTGCGTGGCACGTGTCTCTCTGCCTTGCACGTGTCTCTCTGCGTGGCACGTGTATCTGTGCGTGGCACGTGTCTCTCTGCGTGGCACGTGTCTCTCTGCGTGGCACGTGTCTCTCTGCGTGGCACGTGCCTCTCTGCCTTGCACGTGTCTCTCTGCGTGGCACGTGTATCTGTGCGTGGCACGTGTCTCTCTGCGTGGCACGTGTCTCTCTGCCTTGCACGTGCCTCTCTGCGTGGCACGTGCCTCTCTGCGTGGCACGTGTCTCTCTACGTGGCACGTGTCTCTGTGCGTGGCACGTGTCTCTCTGCGTGGCACGTGTCTCTCTGCGTGGCACGTGTCTCTCTGCGTGGCACGTGCCTCTCTGCCTTGCACGTGTCTCTCTGCCTTGCACGTGTCTCTCTGCGTGGCACGTGTCTCTCTGCGTGGCACGTGTCTCTCTGCGTGGCACGTGTCTCTCTGCCTTGCACGTGTCTCTCTGCGTGGCACGTGTATCTGTGCGTGGCACGTGTCTCTGTGCGTGGCACGTGTCTCTCTGCGTGGCACGTGTCTCTCTGCGTGGCACGTGTATCTGTGCGTGGCACGTGTCTCTGTGCGAGGCACGTGGGTCCCGTCTGTGTTCTGGGGTTTCCCCCCCCTTACTTCCCGGAGCCGGTGCGCCGTGCGAAGGGACCATTGGTTCGTACCGGTATCAGAATCTTTCAGAATCTTTCAGAATCGGAATCTTTATTTAGACTGGGAGGAGGAATCCGTTGAGCTATGAAGCTCTTTGTACGCGGATGTCCAAGTATGGGGCACGGGGTCAGCGAGTTAAAATTATGGGAAAAACAACAACAATAGGCTTTACCCTTGCCGGCAATAGTATACAGCAGGAGGTGCTAAGATGTTCAAACACGAAGTAGTCGCAGCTATTGCAGGGCATCATCAAGTCTGCATTAACCAGAGCACCTTAACAACAACAACAACAGGTAAAACCTATTAACAGGTAAAACCTATTAACAGGTAAAACCTATTAATGTGCTTTTCATCATCTTGGATAGTGGTAAAAAGGTAAGATAAGATAGAACTGCTCAACCCGAGCTTTAAGTGCTCTGATACTACACCACTACAACTACACTACTACTACACCACTACTACACCACTACACTCCTATTACACTACTACACTCCTACTACACTACTACTACACAACTATACCATTACACTACTACTACACTACTACTACTACACCAATACTACTACTACACTACTACTACACTACTACTACACCATCACTACTACTACACCACTACTACTACACTCCTATTACACCACTACTACACCACTACTACTACACTACTACTACACCACCACTACTACTACTACACTACTACTACACTACTACTACACTACTACTACATCACTACTACACTACTACTCTACACCACCACTACTACACCACTACTACTACACTCCTATTACACTACTATTACATCACTACTACTACACTACTACTACACCACCACTACTACTACTACACTACTACACTCCTATTACACTACTACTACTACACCACTACTACTACACTACTACTACACCACCACTACTACTACTACACTACTACACTCCTATTACACTACTACTACACTACTGCTACACTCCTATTACACTACTACACGACTACTACACTACTACTACACCACTACTACTACTACTACACTACTACTACACCACCACTACTACACCACTACTACTACACTCCTATTACACTACTATTACATCACTACTACTACACTACTACTACACCACCACTACTACTACACTACTACACTCCTATTACACTACTACTACCCAACTACTACTGCACTCCTACTACACTCCTATTACACTACTACTACATTACTACTACTACTACACAACTACACTACTACTACACCACTACTACCACACTCCTATTACACTACTACTACACTCCTACTACACTCCTATTACACTACTACACTACTACTACATTACTACTACTACACAACTACACTACTACTACACCACTACTACTACACTACTACTACACCACTACTACTACACTCCTATTACACTACTACACTCCTATTACACTACTACACTACAACACCACTACACTACTACTACACTGCTACTACACTACTACTACACCACCACTACTACTACACTCCCATTATACTACTAAACTACTACTACACTGCTACTACACAACTAGACCATTACACTACTACTACTACACTACTACTACACCTGATTTAAAGCTTTCGTGACTGCAGGGATTCATATTCTTGGTTCTTTCGGTAAAGTCACGTAGAAGGGAAACAATAAAATTATAAAAATGGTTTTATATTTTTATTATTTTATTGATTCCCTTCTACGTGTGACTTTACCGAAAGAACCAAGAATATACTACTACACTACTACTACTACACCAATACACTACTACTACACCACTACACTACTATTACACAACTACACCACTACTACACCACTACTACTACACTAGTACTATTACACAACTACACCACTACTACTACACTAGTACTACTACACCACTACACCACTACTACTACACTAATACTACTACACCACTACTACTACACTACTACTACACTAGTACTACTACACCACTACTACTACTACACTATTTGCCTTTGTACTGTTCGCCTGTTGGCGTTGTTCTCTGGTCCACCACTGCTGGTGAGACGAGGCCACACAGAGGGCTACGGTGTAGGCCGGCCCGTACCAGAGGCAGTGCCCCAGGTATTGTGGTACTCAAAGCCAGGTTTGTCTACACGTTCTGCCACAAGTATGCAGACTTGACGCCTTGAAAAAGGTATCATCTGTTTGGTGTTTGAACATCTTAACGCAACTGTTTTATTTCCAGAAAGGGTCAAACCCATTATTATCTTTCCTCAGTGAGGTTTCCCCTCTGGGTTGAGCGTCGCAGTAGTCGTACAGATATAATAATGAGAATAAGAATGACTTTGAGACTCCTCTGGCGCGGGGCCACAGCCTTAACAATCTGCTGCTCACCGGCGTGAGAACACAGCTTCACCTGGTTGACAATATTGCCCTCTAGTGCCCGATTAGTGCGGCTCAAACGCAGCGACGATTTTATTTTTCTATTTTTAAAGCTCCCGGCCACCCGAGTTCGATTCCCGCTCACGGCCAACATCCGTTTGCATCTTTAACTGAACCGGTCCTGAGCCTCCCCTAGGTCGATTCGGCCTTAAACGAGGAGCCTGGCGCGGTGCGTAAACATCAGCACTCTGGGGAGACAAAGGCGGCCGGGCGTGGTGTTAGCCACATCGCCCCCCCCCCCCCCTCCCGTGTGCCGTGCCAGCCTTGATGGGTTCTGGTTCACAGCACTTGCCCCAACAGTCTGTTAATACTAGACGGGGGATCTTTGTATGAGGTGTGTGTGTGTATAAGGGGCGTGTGGTTTAGAGTGCGTGTTAGGGCTCTGTGGTTGTGTGTAATTGTGTGTGCCGTCGAGTGTTGCATTCATGGCAAGCGGTAGCGTAGCGCTACGCACCCGGCCACCCGAGTTCGATCCCTGCTCACGGCCACCACCACCAGTGAGGATTATCTGACCCGGGACCCACTGCCGGATGAAGCGAGTGCGGGGCCTGTAGCAGATGTTAAAAAGGGGCCCTAAAATATACATAAATATTAAAACACAAATTTTAACTCGCATAGTAAAGTAATTGTAATTTTTCATTTGCTATACAGCCCAGATAATACAACAAATCGCTAACATTAAACGCCCGGTCGTTCATAAAAGTCGAAGGCGGTATAGTACTATAGTAATAGAGCAAGTGCAGAATCACTGAACCGAAATTGATAGCTTGAAAGCATTTAGCGCGGGGGGCCTTCAAAGTGCGGGACCCGTAACTACTACACATGTAGTAGTAGCTACACATGTAGCAGCTACTACATGTGTAATAGCTACTACACGAGTAGCTACTACACATGTAGTAGTAGCTACTACACATGTAGTAGCTACTACTACACATAGTAGCTACTACATGTGTAGTAGTAGCTACTACTACATATGTAGTAGCTACTACTACACATATGTGTAGTAACTTGTGCACAAGTTGCTACACATGTAGTAGCTACTACACATGTAGTAGCTACACATGTAGTAGCTACTACATGTGTAGCAACTTGTGCTGCTACGAGGATGATCCGGCAGTGCCGGCACCGAGCCTCCCCCTAGGTCGACTCAGCCTCGGCGGGACAGCAGTTGCACCGTGCGCGAGCCAAGTGCAGGGGCGCTCATGGAGGACCTTTGTCTTTGTCTTCATTCTCTTTGTCTTCATTGTCTTTGTCTTCATTGTCTTTGTCTTCATTCTCTTTGTCTTCATTCTCTTTGTCTTCATTGTCTTTGTCTTCATTCTCTTTGTCTTCATTGTCTTTGTCTTCATTCTCTTTGTCTTCATTGTCTTTGTCTTCATTCTCTTTGTCTTCATTCTCTTTGTCTTCATTGTCTTTGTCTTCATTGTCTTTGTCTTCATTGTCTTTGTCTTCATTGTCTTTGTCTTCATTCTCTTTGTCTTCATTGTCTTTGTCTTCATTGTCTTTGTCTTCATTCTCTTTGTCTTCATTGTCTTTGTCTTCATTGTCTTTGTCTTCATTGTCTTTGTCTTCATTCTCTTTGTCTTCATTGTCTTTGTCTTCATTGTCGTCGCCGCAGGTGCCACTACGGCTGGCGGGGTGCGCTGTGTGACTCCTGCATCGCGTACCCGGGCTGCCGCCACGGCTCGTGCCGCGGCCGCCCCTGGACGTGCGACTGCGACACGAACTGGGGAGGCCTCCTCTGCGACAAGGGTAGGTGGGGACGGGACGGGGGGGGGGCAATGGGGGGCAGGAGAGGGGGGGGGGTGCGGAGTTTGGGGTTAGGTATGGTGCAGACAGGAGTTCAACGTACATATACACTGGTGTTATGTCACGCTAACAACAACAATAACCACCGGGGCCGTTCCTAGGGCACCCACGTTTCGACGCCACGCTGTCAGACGTCATTCCTCCGGTTTGCTTTGAAGGTCTGGGGGGGGGGGGGTCTGCCCACGTCCCTCTATGGACGGGCCTGACAACATCGCGATATTTTACTAAACTATTTTTATTTTACCAGGTAAGGCCCCACTGAGCTCTTCTGTCAGAAGCGACCTGGCGATCACAAATGACAGCTCAACGAAGTTGTGGCTTATCATGCGGAAATGTGTAGCAGCAGCCAACTACTCTAAGACGCGCGATGTCGATTCTAAAGGTGGAGGGGAAACACCGGAGGACCCGGAGAAAAATCCTCGCCACCACGGGGAGAGAGTGAGAGAGAGAGACACTCAAACTCCACGTGTACAGCAGCAGACGTTAGGGTCGGGATCGAATCTCCCTGCATACCTGGCGAGGTAGTTAACATCTCGCGTGGCACCCATGCCCCCCCCCACCCATGCCCCCCCCACCCATGCCCCCCCCCACCCATGCCCCCCCCCACCCATGCCCCCCCCCCAGACCTGAACGTGTGCGCGAACCGTCCGTGTCTCAACGGGGGCTCGTGTCTCAACGCGGAGCCCAACAAGCACCGCTGCACGTGCCTGCCAGGTTTCACGGGGCCCAACTGCGAGAGCGGTAAGCGTGGCGGCGGCGGCGGCGGCGGCGGCCACGCAGCGTCGGTGTCGTCACCGCCAGGAGCCCGGCCCCTGGGGTACCCGGCGGAGACCGCTAGGGGGGAAGGGGGTGGGGGGCGCGGTTTGACGTCCAGCGGAGTCAAGTGTCGTACTTCCGGTTCCGGTTGAAGGCGTTAGCGGGGGGGGTCCCGCGCGGCGTGACTTGCCCTGGGTCCCCCCCCCCCCCACCCCATGGACGGGCCTGCTCGTCATCGCCGTCATCGCCGTCCGTCGTCGTCATCGCCATCATTGTCACCATCATCGTCTTCACCGTCGTCACCGTCATCACCGTCATCGTCTTCACCGTCGTCACCGTCATCACCGTCATCGTCTTCACCGTCATCACCGTCATCACTGTCGTCATCGTCATCACCGTCGTCATCGTCTTCACCGTCATCACCGTCATCACTGTCGTCATCGTCATCACCGTCGTCATCGTCATCACTGTCGTCATCGTCTTCACCGTCATCACCGTCATCACTGTCGTCATCGTTATCACCATCGTCATCGTCTTCACCGTCATCACCGTCATCACCGTCGTCATCGTCATCACTGTCGTCATCGTCTTCACCGTCATCACCGTCGTCATCGTCATCACTGTCGTCATCGTCTTCATCGTCATTGTCGTCATCGTCGTCATCGTCTGCACCGTAATCGTCTTCAGTCATCATCATCGTCGTCACCGTTATCACCGTCGTCATCGTCTTCGCGGTGCCATTCCTGACCGACTCGTCTCTCGTGATGCCGCCGTCCTCGTCCTCCTCGTCACCGCTGCTTTTTGTCGTCAGCAGGGGACGGCCGCTGCCAGCCCAACCCGTGCGGCAACGGCGGCGAGTGCCGCGCGCTGCCCGGCGGAGGCTCCGAGTGCGTGTGCCGCCCCGAGTGGACGGGCAGCACCTGCATGATCGGTACGCGCACATAGCGTCGTCGTTATCGTCATTGTCGTCATCGTCGTTATGATCGTCGCCACGATCATCATCGTCGTCATGATTGTTATGATCGACGACATCGCCGTCTTCATGAGCTATCTTCACCTGAGTGCATTCCAGTTCTAATTGCAGCTAAAGAGCGAAGTCCCTCTTTCTAGCTGGGGCTCAGCTCACTCGAGCGGCTCACTCGAGCCGCTCGCTCACTCGAGTGGTTCGCTCACTCACTCGGGTGGCTCGAGCGAGCGGCTCGCTCACTCATCGCTCACTCAAGCGGTTCACTCACTTGTCGCTCCCTCGAACCGCTCGCTCACTCGAGCGGTTCGCTCACTTGTCGCTCCCTCGAACCGCTCGCTCACTCGAGCGGTTCGCTCAGTCGTCGCTCCCTCGAACGGCTGGCTCCCTGGAGCGGCTCGCTCACTCGTCGCTCCCTCGAGAGGTTCGAGCCTGAGCTGAGCCTCAGCGTTGGAGGTGGAGCCAGGGCCGAGCCGTGGCTGTGAATGTCGCCCCGGGTGGCGGTCGTGACCACCGCTGGAGCTCTGTCCGCGTTGGTGTCTGTGGGGGAGCAGTGACGTTGTTGGTGTGACGTTGGTGTGACGTTGGTGTGACGTTTGTGTGACATTGGTGTGATGTTGGTGTCACGTCGTCGGTATGACGTCGTCGGTGTGACGTTGTTGGTGTGACGTCATTGGTGTGACGTGATTGGTGTGACATCGTCGGTGTGACATTATTGGTGTGAAGTTGGTGTCACGTCGGTGTCACGTCGTCAGTGTGACGTTGTTGGTGTGACGCCGGTGTGACGTCATCGGTGTGACGTCGTTGGTGTGACATTGTTGGTGTGAAGTTGGTGTCACGTCGGTGTGACGTCGGTGTGACGTTGTTGTTGTGACGTCGTCGGTGTGACGTTGGTCCCCCCCCAGACGCCGACGAGTGTGCCGCGGGTCCCTGCGTCCACGCCAAGCGGTGCCGCAACATCCTCGGTGGCTTCTACTGCAGCTGCCTGCCGGGGTGGACGGGGCAGCACTGTGACACCGGTGAACACCGCCACCACCACCGCCGCAACCCCCGCTACCACTGCTACCACTGCTACCACCACTATTACCACTGCCACCACCACCGCCACAACCGCCGCAACTGCCGCAACCACTGTTGCCACCGAGATCACCGCCGGCACCGCAACCGCCATCCGATGCTACCATTGCTGCCACCGCAATCACCACTACCACCACCACCACCATCGCCACCAGTACCTATACCACTGCCTTCACAACTGCCATCGTCACCTCCACCTATCACCGCTACATCCACCAACACCGCAACCACCACCGCCACCACGTCCCCCGCAAACGCCACCGCATCTACCGCCGCCGCCGCCACCGTCGTGAAGAACTCGACTCAGTCCTCCACCGCGTGGAGCGCAGGGTGAGTGCCGGGTGAGTGCCGGGCGAGTGCCGGGCGAGTGCCGGGCAAGCGTGGGCTGACTTGTCGAGTCTCAGGAGAGCGTAGAGGGCTCGAGTCGTCCGTCTCCGGCTCTCACCCCCACTCCAATTGTCTCCGCGTCACTCCCTTGCCCCCCCTTTCTTCCTTCCTTGCCCCCCTCCTGTTCCCCCTTGTTCCACCGTTGCCCCCCCCTTGTTCCCCCCTTTGCCCCCCCCCCCGTTGTCCCCCCGTTGTCGCGGCTGTCCCCAGCGCTGGACGTGTGTGGAGTGACGGCACCAACGGTGGCGGTGGCGGTCGTCCCGCCGACCCGCACCGAGGGCCCCGGCGGGGGCCGAGCGGCGGCGCGCGTCTGCGGGGAGCACGGCGCGTGCGTGGGCGGCCCCGACGGCGCCTACTCCTGCCTGTGCCAGGCTGGGTACACGGGCGAGCACTGCCAGCACAGTGAGTGACCCCTGTCGAAGAGTGCGTCGCTGAGGCGATGATCGCCGTCATTATTGCCCGTCGTCATCGTCGTCGTCGTCATCGTCGTCGTCATCATCGTCATCATCATCATCGTCATCGTCGTCGTCCTCGTCGTGATCCACGCCATCGTGTACAAGCGCACACGTGCCGCGTCAATCCACTGCCTCCCCCACGTCACGTGGGCCCGGGGAGGTTATCTCACCGTACTTGGCGGGAGCGTAGATGTACGGTACAACAAATGGATTTTTCTGCACTGTCCTCTGCTGCCCGGCAGCAGCAGCAGCCTGTGACGACCTCTGTGTGTGCGCGTGGTGATCACCCATCCAAGCGCTGTCCAGGCTCAACCCAGCTTAGCTTCTGAGATCATCATTCTCATAATTGGTGTCATCATCATTATCATCATCGTCCTCAACTAACTCTATCATCCTCACGATCGTCATCATCATTTTTTTTATATTGGTAGCTGCTTGTGGCTACATCATCCACTCATTGCCAGATGCAGTGCATGTGTGTGGGTGGGGGGAGCGGTGGGTGGGGGGAACAGTGGGTGGGCGGGATCGGTGGGTGGGGGGAACGGTGGGGGGAGCGGTGGGTGGGGGGAACGGTGGGTGGGGGAGCGGTGGGTGGGGGGAACGGTGGGTGGGGGAGCGGTGGGTGGGGGGAGCGATGGGTGGGGGGAGCGGTGGGTGGGGGGAGGTAGCGGTGGGGGGAGCGATGGGTGGGGGGAACGGTAGGTGAGGGAGCGGTGGGTGGGGGGAGCGGTGGGTGGGGGGAGGTAGCGGTGGGGGGAGGTAGCGGTGGGGGGAGGTAGCGGTGGGGGGAGCGGTGGGTGGGGGGATTGGTTATCGTGCTGCGCCACGAACTCGGCAACCCGAGTTCGAATCCCGCTCACAGCGAGCAATCAATCGCGAAAGTCTGAACCGGTCCTGGGCCACCCCTAGGTCGACTCAGCCTTCAACGAGTAGCTGGTGCGGTGTGTAAACATCGCCGCTCGGGGCCACCCACCCCCTCGTGTGCCACAGTGCCGGCCTTCATCGGTCCTCTGTAACAGCACTTGCCCCGACGGTCTGCTAAGGCTACACGGGGGATCTGTACCTCTGTGCGTAGACGTGGATGAGTGTGCGGGCGTGAGCTGCGGGGACGGAGGCACTTGTGTGGACGGAGTCGCCTCCTTCCAGTGCATCTGCCCCAGCGGCTGGGAGGGCGAGCTCTGCCAGCACGGTGAGTGCGCGTACCTCCTCCTCCTCACCACTGCCTCCTCCTCCTCACTACTGCCTCCTCCTCCTCACCACTGCCTCCTCACTACAACAGCAGCTCACCACCACCAACCCACACACAGCCTTCTCATTCACAGCCTTCTCCCGCCTTCAGCCCCACCCACGAGTCATATAGCCACGCCCACTACTGAAGTTACCCCGCCCACTCTACTGGTAGCTCATTCCGCTACTCAGGTAGCAGAATGAGCTACTTGGGTAGCCCCGCCCACCACTCAGGTAGCCCCGCCCACTACCCAGGTAGCTCCTCTCACGACTTGGGTAGCCCCGCCCACCACTCAGGTAGCCTCGCCCACCACTCTGGTAGCCCCGCCCACTACTCGGGTAGCCCCGCCCACCACCCAGGTCGCTCTTATCACTACTCGGGTAGTCCCGCCCACTAGTCAGATAGCTCCGCCCAGTGACCAGGTAGCCCCGCCCACTAACCAGGTAACCCCGCCCACTACTTGGGTAGCTCCGCCCAGGGACCAGGTAGTCCCGCCCACACGATTCAATGCCTGCATCGCGAGCTCAATGATCGACGCTAATCGATGACCTCCACTTCCCGAACATTAATCGATCTCAACGATAGAACAACAAATAGAAAAGCAACTCAACGCATTCGTCAATATACACCGCCTTAAAAAAAAATAGGCGACGTTTCGGGCAGTGACCCTTCTCCACAGCTCGTGAAATAAAAACCCCTCCCTCGTTCGCTCGCCCGCACGGTCGCAGACGTGGACGAGTGCGGCTCGAGCCCCTGCCTCAACGGCGGCCTCTGCCAGGACCTGGCCAACGACTTCGCGTGCGAGTGCCAGGGCGGGTGGAAGGGGCGCACCTGCCACTCACGTGGGTACCCCGCCTCCACCCACCGCCTCCACCGACCGCCTCCACCCACCGCCTCCGCCCACCGCCTCCGCCCACTGCCTCCACCCAACATCTCCGCCCACCGCCTCCGCCCACCGCCTCCGCCCACCATCTCCGCCCACCGCCTCCGCCCACCATCTCCACCCACCATCTCCGCCCACCGCCTCCGCCCACCATCTCCACCCACCGCCTCCACCCAACATCTCCACCCACCATCTCCGCCCACCATCTCCACCCACCGCCTCCACCCACCGCCTCCACCCAACATCTCCACCCACCATCTCCACCCACCGCCTCCGCCCACCATCTCCACCCACCGCCTCCACCCAACATCTCCACCCACCATCTCCGCCCACCGCCTCCACCCACCGCCTCCACCCAACATCTCCACCCACCATCTCCGCCCACCGCCTTCACCCACCGCCTCCGCCTACCATCTCCACCCACCGCCTCCGCCCACCATTTCCACCCACCATCTCCGCCCACCGCCTCCGCCCACCATCTCGTCACATCATCTCAACTCAAAAACTAATTTGAAAGGGGGCACCCCGTGCATCACGAGGCGACTGCGTCACGAGGTGACTGACGGCGGCACGAGGAGACTGACTGCATCACGAGGTGACTGCATCACGAGGTGATTGCATCACGAGGAGACTGACTGCATCACGAGGTGACTGATTGCGGCACGAGGAGACTGACTGCATCATGAGGTGACTGCGGCACGGCGTGACTGACTGCGGCACGAGGTGATTGACTGCGTCACGAGGTGACTGACTATGGCACGAGGTGACTGACTGCATCACGAGGTGACTGGATCACGAGGTGACTGACTGCATCACGAGGTGACTGCGGCACGAGGTGATTGCATCACGAGGAGACTGACTGCATCACGAGGTGACTGACTGCATCACGAGGTGACTGGATCACGAGGTGACTGACTGCATCACGAGGTGACTGGATCACGAGGTGTCTGACTGCATCACGAGGTGACTGACTGCATCACGAGGTGACTGGATCACGAGGTGACTGACTGCATCACGAGGTGACTGGATCACGAGGTGACTGACTGCATCACGAGGCGACTGACTGCATCACGAGGTGACTGACTGCATCACGAGGTGACTGACTGCATCACGAGGTGACTGACTGCATCACGAGGTGACTGACTGCATCACGAGGTGACTGACTGCATCACGAGGTGACTGACTGCATCACGAGGTGACTGACTGCATCACGAGGTGACTGACTGCATCACGAGGTGTCTGACTGCATCACGAGGTGACTGACTGCATCACGAGGCGACTGACTGCATCACGAGGTGACTGACTGCATCACGAGGTGACTGACTGCATCACGAGGTGACTGACTGCATCACGAGGTGACTGACTGCATCACGAGGTGACTGACTGCATCACGAGGTGACTGACTGCATCACGAGGTGACTGACTGCATCACGAGGTGACTGACTGCATCACGAGGTGACTGACTGCATCACGAGGTGACTGACTGCATCACGAGGAGACTGACTGCATCACGAGGTGACTGACTGCATCACGAGGTGACTGGATCACGAGGTGACTGACTGCATCACGAGGTGACTGGATCACGAGGTGTCTGACTGCATCACGAGGTGACTGGATCACGAGGTGTCTGACTGCATCACGAGGTGACTGGATCACGAGGTGTCTGACTGCATCACGAGGTGACTGACTGCATCACGAGGTGACTGCATCACGAGGCGACTGACTGCATCACGAGGTGACTGCATCACGAGGCGACTGACTGCATCACGAGGTGACTGACTGCATCACGAGGTGACTGACTTCATCACGAGGTGTCTGACTGCATCACGAGGTGACTGCGGCCCGTGATGGAGGCGTGAGCTGAGCCCCCCTCGTAATCTCCATCGCTCGAGACGCAGTCCCCACCTGGAACGCCGCCACCTGGAACACGACGAGCAGCTGCGAAAAATCTTACAGGGGGAGGGGGGGTGACCTCTTGACCCTGACCGAGCACCACCCCCCCCCCCGCCTCCCACGGTGTGTGTGCGTGGAGCAGGAGGCGGTCCGTGCGACGAGCTGTCGTGTCACAACGGGGGCACGTGTCACGACCTGGGCGACACCTACAGCTGTTCGTGCGCGGCCGGCTGGACCGGACACGGCTGCACGCTGGGTGCGAGCGGTGTCGTGGGGGTGGGGAGGGGGGTGGTAGGGGCGGGGGGGGGGTCGAGGCTAGGGTTGCCACCTTTCCCACAGTGCAGACCCGGACGTACTTCTCACTCAGCACGGGGTCTATTCTCAACACTGCCACATCACTAGGGGCAACGGGAGCTCAACTCGGCAATACCGGCACCAGATCTCGGTCCTGCTGCCACCCAAACCACAGATGCCAATTCCAGGAATGTCCAGGTCAAACCTGGACAAGTGGCAACCCTAGAGGGTCCACCCGGATAGGTGGAAACCTTGGAAGATGAAACCTGGACAGGTGGGGTGGCGACCTTAGAGGGGAGGGTGGGTGGTTGAGCGAGTGGATGGGGGAGTATGTGGGTGGGTGGGTGAGTGAGTGGGTGGTTGAGTGAGTGGGTGAGTGAGTGGATGGGTGAGTGTGTGGTGGATGGGCGTGTCAGTGTGTGGATGGGTGATTGAGTGGGTGAGTGTGTGGGTGGGTGAGCGAGTGAGTGGATGGGTGAGTGGGTGGATGGGCGCGTCAGTGTGTGAGTGGATGATTGAGTGAGCGAGTGAGTGGGTGGGTGAGTGGGTGGACGGACGGGTGAGTGAGCGTGTCGGTGAATGATTGAGTGAGTGGGCTAGTGGGTGAGTGATTGAGTGTGTAAATTTGGTGGGTGACTCGCTGAGCGATGGAGTGGCTTGGTTTTAGGGCTGCCACCCGCAGTCAGCCCGTGCGAGACTTTGACCCCCGGTCCCCGTCTCTCTCAGCGGAGGCGTCGGCGTGCGCGGCGCGGCCGTGCGGCGACGGCGGCGTGTGTGTGGGGGGCGGCCCAGACGCCTTCACCTGCGTGTGCCGCGACGGCTGGGACGGACCGACCTGCGCACAGAGTCAGTGGCGCACACGGCACACGCTGTGTGTGTCTGTCTGTGTGTCTGTGTGTGTGTCTGTGTGTCTGTGTGTGTGTCTGTGTGTCTGTGTGTCTGTGTGTGTGTGTCTGTGTGTCTGTGTGTGTGTGTCTGTCTGTGTGTCTGTGTGTGTGTGTCTGTCTGTGTGTCTGTGTGTGTGTGTCTGTGTGTGTGTCTGTGTCTGTGTGTCTGTCTGTGTGTCTGTCTGTGTGTCTGTGTCTGTGTGTCTGTGTGTGTCTGTCTGTGTGTCTGTGTCTGTGTGTGTCTGTGTGTCTGTGTGTGTGTGTCTGTGTGTCTGTGTGTGTCTGTGTGTGTCTGTGTGTCTGTGTGTCTGTCTGTGTGTCTGTGTGTGTCTGTGTGTGTGTGTCTCTGTGTGTGTGTGTGTCTGTGTGTGTGTCTGTGTGTGTGTCTGTGTGTGTGTCTGTGTGTGTGTCTGTGTGTCTGTGTGTGTGTCTGTGTGTGTGTCTGTGTGTCTGTGTGTCTGTCTGTGTGTCTGTGTGTGTGTGTGTCTGTCTGTGTGTCTGTGTGTGTCTGTGTGTCTGTGTGTGTGTCTGTGTGTCTGTGTCTGTGTGTCTGTGTGTGTGTGTGTCTGTGTGTCTGTGTCTGTGTGTGTCTGTGTGTCTGTGTGTGTGTGTCTGTGTGTCTGTGTGTGTCTGTGTGTCTGTGTGTGTCTGTGTGTCTGTGTGTGTGTCTGTGTGTCTGTGTGTCTGTCTGTGTGTCTGTGTGTGTGTGTGTGTGTCTGTCTGTGTGTCTGTGTGTGTCTGTGTGTCTGTGTGTCTGTGTGTGTGTCTGTGTGTCTGTGTCTGTGTGTCTGTGTGTCTGTGTGTGTGTCTGTCTGTGTGTGTGTCTGTGTGTGTGTCTGTGTGTTTGTGTGTGTGTGTCTCTGTGTGTCTGTCTGTGTGTCTGTGTGTCTGTCTGTGTGTCTGTGTGTCTGTCTGTGTGTCTGTGTGTCTGTCTGTGTGTCTGTGTGTCTGTCTGTGTGTCTGTGTGTGTGTCTGTCTGTCTGTGTGTCTGTGTCTGTGTGTCTGTCTGTGTGTCTGTGTCTGTGTGTCTGTGTGTGTGTCTGTGTGTCTGTTTTTGTGTCTGTGTGTCTGTGTGTGTGTAATGGGGGGCGGTAGTGTAGTGGTTAGCGCGCTGCGTTATGAACCCGGCGACCCGAGTTTGATTCCCGCTCACGGCCAACAGCGGTGACTATTATCTGAATCGGTCCTGGGCCTCCCCTAGGTCGACTCAGCCTCAAATAATTACCTGGTGCGGTGTGTAAACATCGCCACTGGGGAGACAAAGGCGGACGGGCGTGGTGCTGGCCACCCACCCCCTCGTGTGCCGTGCCGGCCTTCATAGGTGCTGCTCGCTAACAGCACTTGCCCCAACAGTCTTCGAAAGCCTTCTTGCACAATGCCATTTGCACATCTCGCTCCCACTGTTCGTCGCGTTCTGTCTGGATCTAAATGTCAAGGCACTGCTTCCTCCCACATGAAAACACTCATGAATTGGCTGATAAATCGTTCATATGCAGGGTGCTTCAAATTTCTTTGAACACTTCTGAAAATTTGCCTCCTAGCCCTGGAGGACCACCTGGGGAAGATTCCAGGCGTAGCGTTGACAACGATGGAGACCCTTTAACTTTTTGAAGCTATTAACATTACATTTGCTATCATGTTACAGTGAAATATTTTTCGTTCTTTTTCCATTAAAAACGATAGTTCCATATAAACGTTAAACATTTTTTTTAAGCACCCTGTATAGAGGACCGCAGAGCTTGGGCAATTGTTGCCACCGGCAACTTGACCGCTTCACCGCTGCGTGGCTGCTGCTGCTGCTGCCTCTCCTCCGGGCGCCTCTGAGTCGCCGTTCCGTGCGGTGGCCGTGGCGGTGGCCGTGGCGCCGGTGGTGGTGGTGGCGGCGTGGCGAGTTGACTTTCACCGAATTCCACCTCTGTGAATTCTCCGTCTGTTTGCAGATGTCAACGACTGCAACCCCCACCCGTGGTGAGTCACTGTGCCCCCACCGCTGCACAACGCCGCCGTGAACAACACCGCCGTGAACAACACCGCCGTGAACAATACCGCCGCAGCCAATCACATTTCGTTTGGGTGCCCAACGGGCATGCCCAACCAATCACGATCACGCGTAAGAACCGATAATGCAGATGCAGCAGCTTTTCAAATGCTGCTGTTTGCTAAAAGAATGAGGACCCCCCCACCTCTCCACCCCCCCAGGCACACCCCCCACCCCTCCACCCCAGCCCCACCCCTCCACCCCCCCCACCCATACCTGACCATACCTTACCACCACCACGCTGGTCAAGTTGTCAAAATTATTTTTGCTTAACCACGTGAGAGCTCAAGTTCCGGTGCTGCTCACCACGTCGCACCGGCAACATTAGTGGGGTTGGTGGTCGCCCATCCGTGCGTCGTCCAGGCCCAACCCTGCTTAGCTTCATAGATCTGACGAGTATCGGGGCTCACTCCGGCGTGATCCGGTTACGGGCAAGTATAAGAAGAAATGATTTTGCCTTCTGTTGAAGTTGCGGTGGGGGGGGGGGGAATAGCGGCAGAGCGGTTCGCGCTTGACGCTGCGGACCCGGTAACTCGAGTTCGATTCCCGGCCGTGGCTCACCTGAGCGAGTCTTTTCGCTGGGTATTTATTGGGCGCACCCCTTAACCGAACCGCACTGACTAGCGTGGTGAAGGAAGAATGTTATCCTGTACGTAGCAACGTCGTCCCCTACTGCATGGACGACTCTCAGTGAGGCTTTTCTGGGTTTTTCCACGAGCGCAAACAAATAAAAGTAAAATAAACTGAAGATTCGCCACTCGCCTGCCGCCCACAGCTACAACGGTGGCTCCTGCGTGGACGGAGAGAACTGGTTCCGCTGCGAATGCCCCCACGGATTCACGGGGCCCGACTGCCGCCTGGGTACGGCTCCGTGTCCCGCTCGCGCGACCCCACGGCGTCCCGCTCGCGCGACCCCACGGGGTCGCGGCCGTCCAGTGGTGGACGGTCACGGCAGCTGGGGTGCCGACGCTGTGGCCTAGCGGCCACGCGGCCCTTGCCGCGCTCTCCTAGGTCGACTCAGCCTTGAAATGAGCAGCTGCTGCGGCGTTGTAAACATCAGCACTGGGAAGAGAGAGGCTCGTTGGCTTCCGTCGGCGCTCACCACCAGCACTTGCCCCGACAGTCTGTCAAAGGCTATACCTGGGACCTTTGTCTTTGCCTCCCCCTCCCCACTGCCAGGCCTGGCGAGCGACGCCGGTGACCCCACGGGGAGCGCCGCGACGCCCGGCGCCGTCACGGAGCGCGCCGGCGAGGCAGGTGGGTGCCGCCCGGCCGCTCGCGGCCTCCCGGCGCCCGCGTCGGGGCACGAGGCCCCGGGGGGTGGGGGTGGGGTCCCGGGTGTGGGGCCACAAAGAGGGAAGTTTGACGGGGGTCCCTCATTCCGTCCCTTGCACCGTGGGGGGCCAGGAGGGCCGGAGGGGCCCCGCTAGGCCTCCGCGTGGCAATGCAGCTGGGTTATTTTTCGTTTTCTGTCGGCCGTCCTTGTTTGGCGACGTTGGCAGAGGTTTGCAGAAGCTGCCCCTTTTCTCTTAACATTCGATCCTTAAGCGAGTGCGCGGCCTCTAGCTTATGTTATAAAGGGGCCCTAAATAAGAAAAACACACATTTTTAACTTGCATAGTAAATTGTATTTTTTTTCATTTGATATACAGCCAGATAATACGACAAATCGCTAACCTTAAACACCCAGTCGTTCGTAAAAGTCGAAGGCGGTATAGTACTACGGTAGTAGAGCAAGTGCAGAACCACTGAACCGGAATAGATACCTTGAAAGCATTTATCGCGGTGCCCTTGAAAGTGCGGGGCCCGTCGCATTTGTAGCGACTGGTGCTGCGAGGATAATCCGGCAGTGGTCGCCCAGAGCGCCCCGCCCACCCGCCGGGTCAGCACGTGGGGTGTGCTTGCTCGGACCCAGGAGGGTCAGCCTCAGGATTGAGCATTGTGGGTTCACAATCGCCGTTGGGTTTAGTACGCGGGGGGTGATGCGGTCGCAGTGTAATGGTCAGCGCGCGGGCCTTGCAATCCACAGATCAACTGTTCAATCTCCCGGCGCGGCAGTGGCGACAACTCTCAAGTTTCCAGAATCTCCCCGCCTGTGTCGAGCGAGCGCCGCAGCGAGTGAGCCCGGGGTGACCCCCCCCCCCCTGCTAGCAGCGGTGCCCACAGGCGCCTCGTCACTGTGCCCCCCCACCCCGACCCGTTCCAGCGGACGCCGGCGAGGATGTCACGGCGCCGGTGGCGCTGCCGATCCTGGCGGTGCCGCTGCTCGCCGCTCTCTCGCTGTGGCTCTGCCGCCGCCGCCGCCGCCACCGCCTCGGGCGGCACGCGGGGGGAGGGCGCCGGCGGCCGGCACGGGGCGGCGGCTGCGGCGGCGGCCTCCTGGGGAGGCTGCGGCGGGGAGACGGGGACGCGGCCCGGCGCGACCCGGAGAGCCTCAACAACGCGCGGCGGCCGGGCTCGGCGGGGAAACTCGGCGAGGGCGCGGAGGAGGCGGTCGCCGTGGCGACGGCGCTCGACGTGAGGGACGTCAACGAGTGGGCGGAGCGCTCCGTGCGCGGAGAGGACCTCAAGTCGTTCAGGTCGTTCAAGTCGAACCTGCGCGCGGAGAGGGGCGCCGAGGGATACGTCGTGGACTACTTTTCCGACCCCCGTGGCGGCGGCGGCGGCGGTATACGCCTGCAGGCCGCGGAGCTGGAGCCGCTTCGCTCGGCGGAGGGATCTGCCGGGCCGGGTTGCCAGAACTACATTTCGGAGTGAATGTGAACGCTGGGCGAGCCAGTGGCCCCTGTGAAAAAAAGAAATTGGTTTTAGATTTGTATTATTGAGGACTAAACTAAACTAAATATTTTATTACTTTTTGACGCGCGATGCCCCCTCCCCGGGGTACCAAGAGCGGAGGCTTTAAGACGCACGCTGCCACCACGGCCTCGGAGCAGAAGTCGAGGGACTCAAAACCAAATCTTCGGACGACTTAAAATAGGATCCTGGCGCTCGCCTCGCCCCAGCGGAGGAGCGCGACCACCACGACAGCGATCACGCCGTGCGGTTGTGGGTGGGGTGGGTGGGGCGGGGTGGGTGGGGTGGGGTGGGGTGGGGTGCGGTGGGTGGGTGGGTTGGTGGGGCGGGGTGGGTGGGGTGGGGTGCGGTGGGTGGGTGGGTGGGGTGGGTGGGGTGGGGTGGGAGGGGTTGGTGGGTGGGTTGGTGGGGTAGTGTGTGGTTGGTGGGGCGGGGTGGGTGGGGTGGGTGGGGTGGGTGGGGTGGGTGGGTGCTCTCCCGGTGTGAACCGCTAACCCCCCGACCCCCCCCCCCCCCCCGTTGAACCCTGGAGGTCACCGCCTGCCCTAACGAGCGCCGCCAACAGCAGCCCCGATGTTGCGGGGGTGGGGGGGGGCTCCGAGGAGAGCCGTGGGACAGGAATCTCGCTCCGTCGACCCTCGCTCACAAACACCGCCCAGGGTCTCTTGCAGCGAGCGGCAAGAGAGAGCCTGGGGGGGGCTGGGGGGGAGCGGAGGAGGGGGGGGCTGGGGGGGAGCGGAGGAGGGGGGGGCTGGGGAGGGGGTGTGCTGGGGGGGGCGGAGGAGGGGGGGATGGGGGATCGGAGGAGGGGGGAATGGGGGGGGGCGGAGGAGGGGGTAGGGAGCGGAGGAGGGGGGGGGGGGGCCGCGAGCCGTCGCTAAAACGTGCAGCGGAAAAACCTTGGCTACAACTTTACTCGGCTCAGGGGTCAAACTTCACTCTGCCTCAGGCCCCGGCTATTCCACGGCGGTGGGAGAGAGGGGAACTTGGGGGGGGGGGTTCTGGGGAGGGGGGCTACTTTAATATATTCCAAGCGATGTTATTTATTTACAAGAGTAGAGCACTGCTATTTATTTCAGCTGCGCACGTCTCGTAAAGAAGCCACAGCCGCCTTCCCATTTGCGGGACGGAGCCGTCCGTCCGTCCGTGTCGTCGGCCCGCGATATATTCAGTGGCAAGTTAAGCCCTGTGTGAGTCTCTGGGTCTCCATGAACATTCATGAGTCTCTATGTAAGTCCATGAGTCTCTGTGTAAGTCCATGAGTCTCTGTGTAAGTCCACGAGTCTCTGTGTAAGTCCACGTGTCTCTGTGTAAGTCAATGAGTCTCTGTGCAAGTCCATGAGTCTCTGTGTAAGTCCATGAGTCTCTCTGTAAGTCCATGAGTCTCTGTGCAAGTCAATGAGTCTCTGTGTAAGCCCACGAGTCTCTGTGTAAGTCCATGAGTCTCTGTGCAAGTCCATGAGTCTCTGTGTAAGTCCATGAGTCTCTGTGTAAGTCCACAAGTCTCTGTGTAAGTCCACGAGTCTCTGTGTAAGTCCACAAGTCTCTGTGTAAGTCCATGAGTCTCTTTGCAAGTCCATGAGTCTCTTTGCAAGTCCTTGAGTCTCTGTGCAAGTCAATGAGTCTCTGTGCAAGTCAATGAGTCTCTCTGTAAGTCCATGAGTCTCTGTGTAAGCCCACGAGTCTCTGTGTAAGCCCACGAGTCTCTGTGTAAGTCCATGAGTCTCTGTGCAAGTCAATGAGTCTCTGTGTAAGCCCACGAGTCTCTGTGTAAGTCCATGAGTCTCTGTGCAAGTCCATGAGTCTATGTGTAAGTCCATGAGTCTCTGTGTAAGTCCACAAGTCTCTGTGTAAGTCCACGAGTCTCTGTGTAAGTCCACAAGTCTCTGTGTAAGTCCACGAGTCTCTGTGTAAGTCCACGAGTCTCTGTGTAAGTCCACGAGTCTCTGTGCAAGTCCACGAGTCTCTGTGCAAGTCCATGAGTCTCTGTTTAAGTCCACGAGTCTCTGTGCAAGTCCACGAGTCTCTGTGCAAGTCCACGAGTCTCTGTAAGTCCACGAGTCTCTGTGTAAGTCCATGAGTCTCTGTGCAAGTCCACGAGTCTCTGTGCAAGTCCACGAGTCTCTGTGCAAGTCCATGAGTCTCTGTGCAAGTCCACGAGTCTCTGTGTAAGTCCACGAGTCTCTGTGTAAGTTCATGAGTCTCTGTGTAAGTCCACGAGTCTCTGTGTAAGTCCATGAGTCTCTGTGTAAGTCCACGAGTCTCTGTTTAAGTCCACGAGTCTCTGTGTAAGTCCCCGAGTCTCTGTGTATGTCCACGAGTCTCTGTTTAAGTCCATGAGTCGCTGTGCAAGTCCACAAGTCTCTGTGTAAGTCCACAAGTCTCTGTTTAAGTCCATGAGTCTCTGTGTAAGTCCACGAGTCTCTGTCCGCACACGAGCTCACCACGACCCGTTTGGAACCTGTGCTTCGTGTCTATGGCTCCTGCAAGTCAAGCGCCAACCTTCTGCAGTCCACCAACGCCGTGGGAATGACTGAGTGAGAAACGGAGTGCTCACCAAGTGTTTAGGTCCCGTGTGAGTCTTGGGTTTAATTTCAGCCAATTCTGTCCAGGTTGGTGACTTGGACAGAATGTCCGTTGCCCGGCACACCACATCCTGAACATCTTTCGTTCATGGCTACGGATGTGACGAGTAATCACGTGCCACCTCTACTGGGGTGTCAGCAGCGACTTGGAAAACATTCAGTGAGCAAGGAAGCCCTGGAGAGGACCATCACTCACCCCCACCATCACTCACCATCACTCACCCCCACCATCACTCACCATCACTCACCATCACTCACCCCCACCATCACTCACCATCACCCACCATCACTCACCATCACTCACCATCACCATCACTCACCATCACTCACCATCACTCACCCCCACCATCACTCACCATCACTCACCATCACCATCACTCACCATCACTCACCATCACCCACCATCACCATCACTCACCATCACCCACCATCACTCACCCCCACCATCACTCACCATCACTCACCATCACCCACCATCACTCACCCCCACCATCACCCACCATCACTCACCATCACTCACCATCACCCACCATCACTCACCATCACTCACCATCACTCACCCCCACCATCACCCACTCCCACCATCACCCACCATCACTCACCATCACTCACCCCAACCATCACCCACCCCCATCATCACTTACCCCCACCATCACTCACCATCACTCACCATCACCCACCATCACCATCACTCACTCCCACCATCACTCTTCCCCATCATCACTCACCCCCATCATCACTCACCCCCACCATCACCCACCATCACTCACCATCACTCACCATCACTCACCCCCACCATCACCCACCCCCACCATCACTCACCCCCACCATCACCCACCATCACTCATCATCACCCCCACCATAACTCACCCCCATCATCACTAACCCCCACCATCACTCACCCCCACCATCACCCAACATCACTCATCATCACCCCCACCATCACTCACCCCCATCATCACTAACCCCCACCATCACTCACCCCCACCATCACCCACCATCACTCACCCCCACCATCACTCACCCCCACCATCACCCACCATCACTCA